CCATCATGGAATGAAATGAAAAAACTAATTAACCAGATTTTATTTATGGAATTTTAATTGGTACATTTTTCTTTGGTTGTTTAAGTATTTTACCTTGCGTATTTCAGATGGGTTGCGGGATATAACCACACACATGAAGGATATCTTGAAGGGTTTGCGAGAGTTCAAGAAGTCATCGAATGTGGCTTTAGAAATGCTCAAAGTATTTTCAGAAGGGAGTGAATCTAGTGCAGTGAGTTTCTTGTTTTTTTGGTGAAAAATGAAAATGAAAAGTTGGTAATATTATCCGGGGTGCTAACTAGTTGTTCTTTATTATGGGTATGATTCAGGATCTATGGAGTCATAAAGAACTAACACAACAAGATTGCAGCATGAATGGAGAAGTTCTATCGATAGCATCCATCAAAGACAAGATCTTTTCAGGCCATTCAGATGGCACAATAAAAGTAACTCTTTTACCTTTTGTAGAGCATCAACTTAGAAAACCAATGTAGAAGTTATTTGTAGCTAACAACTTAATTAAGACTTATAAGTTGAGGGGACTCCTCATTCTCTATCCATATGGGATCACTTATTTTCGTAACACCCATATTTCATACCAAAGAAGATGCATATATGAGCCTCCAACTCAGATATCATTTTGTAAGAAATCTTTTTTACACCAATTATGATGTTAAATCAACTCAAAATCATGTCTTATACCATTTTCGTGTTGGTGTATATAAAAACATCAAATTTGGTGCTTTTCTATTCATGTGCAGTATTAAAATTTTCTTTTTAAAAATTGGTTTTCAAGTTTAAATGCTATGGATTTTTTTTTTGTTCATTTGATTGTATAATAATATTTTAACTGCAATATTATACTATAAATTAAGTTGATATTAAATTATGATATAATATTATATTAAATTCCTGTGTTTCGAACTTTAATATTTTCTAGTTATTTAAATGTATGTATAATATTTCTGTAAATGTATGTGTAATACTTGTTTATAGTTTATACGTAAAATTTTATTTAATAAAATATTTGTTTTAATAATATGATAGGTAATTTGAAATAAAATGTATACGAATAATTTGTTTTTGTGTAATGGTATAATATATAAAGTAATTTTAATAAATAGATATGAGTCAAACTTTTGAAAAGCTAATAAATATAAGGATATTATTGAAAATCAATACAATTAAAAAAATTTTGATATACTTAAAATATTCTTTGTGGTGTTAAAACCATGTAATGATTTGTTGAAGAATTACTATTTATATACCAAATATTACATCATTTTGGTGCAAAAAGTGTTGTAATTATATATGGATTGAGTGTTGGATATATATATGGTCTAATAGGATAACCCAACTTTTTGATAGACCCAAAACCATGGTAGAAGTTATTGGTAACACATTACTTCATCAGCTCCTCATGGATATCTATCCATGTGGAACCAGTTATTATATGTACCCATATGAATACATGATCTAGGATTATATATATGGCTCTAAAAAGAAATTATTTGACTGAATCATGAAGGTTTGGATGGATAAAGGTAGCGTGCTACATTTGATCCAAGAAATACGAGAACACTCAAAGGCAGTCACTAGTTTGATTGTTCCACAGTCAGGGGACACTCTATACAGTGGTTCACATGATAAAACCGTGAGGGTAAGTATTAGACAAATACTTATATTTATGTTATTAGAGGGTGTGTTATGTAAATATGTCCACTATATATTCAGATATATATATTATGCCGATTATGGAATACAAGATACCCTTTTTTATTAAGATTTAATTGTAAGAGATAAAATTAACGATTAATTTCTATCTCCCTATTTTCAAATTCTATTATGAGTTCATGGGTTAGTTCTGATTAATTTGTTCCATTTCTCACAATATCAATCAACTAGTGGTGGTCTATTAACAAGGAATCGATACACTGCGAACAAGTGTATGATGTCAAAGATCAAGTTAACAATCTTCTAGTCGCCAATAGTATCTCATGCTTCATTCCTCAAGGTGCTGGAATCAAGGTACACCTTTATTCATCTTTAATTATCTGTACTTTCACCATTTACCGATTTAGCGATTAAATTATAAATTTATATGATTATTATAGGTGTGTGAGTGTTTTGTAGTTTGCTCTCATATCTAACACCAAACAACCAGGAAAAATGGTTTTTCTAATTGTCCAAAAAGTATAACGATTTACTCATTTTAGAAAATAGTTAAGAGTGCCTACATCAATAAAATGGTGATTTATTTTGTTCTATTTAATTTGATAACTTCTATTTTAGTTGCTTAGCTGAGAAATGTTTGGTATCAGATTCAATCATGGAGTGGAACATCAAAGCTACTTAATCCTAGTAAATATGTCAAGTGTTTGGCTCTTGTTCATGGGAGATTATATTCGGGATGCCAGGATAATAGTATTCAGGTGCAGATTGTTGTGCCTTCATGGTTTCTCTTTCCAGGGTTCACCAAAAACTTATTATAATAAAACTTAATGACATTTTTACAGGAAATCGATTTGGCAACTGGAACATTGAGTTCCATACAAAGTGGATCAAGAAAACTACTTGGTAAGGCAAATCCAGTCCATGCCTTGAAAGTTCATGATGGATTCATATACTCAGCCAGCTCTTCTGTTGAAGGAACTTCATTGAAGGTATGTGCAAAGATTATTTAACTTTTAGCAAAAATATGCAATATATTTTTGTCATCTAACAAGTCCATGCAACATATTAACAATTTAATATAACAAACTCCCATTTTTTTTTTAAACCATTTAATGTAAAATGTGAATTTCTTAATACCATTTAGGGAAATTTCACAAAAATGATAAAAAAAAGGGGTAAGTTTGTTAGTTGTTACATTACATGATTAAAAAATAACACATTGCATGGATTATAAGATGATGATAGTTTTTTATTCTATTTTATTTTTTAATTATAGATTTTGAAGTTAAATGTCCTAAATGAATTGAAAGTTAAGACATTAGTTTAGGTCGACCTAGCAATAATTATCCTGCTGACTAGTAGAGGGGAGTGATTTCAACCCCTATGTATGAAAATCTGTCAATTTAGATTATCTTTTCATGGATAATGGGTCAAACATGTAAAACTAAAAATTTAGTGTATAACTAAAACGCAACAAATGTTTACAATCACCAACATTGTTTTATTTAAGAATTTTTGATATTTTAATAATATTTAGAAAAATTAAATATCCTCCTACATTTTGTTGCTATCTATCATTCTACTCATATAAAATGATAACACATGTAATCCAATGATTCTCTCTCTTAATCTCTCACTTTTGATTTTGATACATGTCTTCGTCTATTGAGTAGGGACATTGATAGGAACAAATGGTAGGAAAATATTTGATTACTCATGCATTTATAGTAATCATGGTCATTAATCTTTTATGAAATTAAAAATAGACAAAAAAATATTGATGGGCCAACCCAACTTGTTTAACATTTACTTGTTTTGACCCGTCACCCGACCCATCCATTTTGCCACTTGCCACCTACATATAAGAGAATCCGAGCTTACTGTAGAGTTTATTATTATTATTATTATTATTTTAAATTTTATTTATTTATTTATATTTTTCAGTGAACTAAGTTTTGCAAAGCAAAATTAGCTATTGTGGAATCGTTTTGGTCAAATAAGCTATTGTGACTTGTGAGAATTTTTCATCTATTTCACTTTGATTAATAATTTAAAAGCTCTCTACTACAACTTTTTCATCATTTAATTATATCTTATTAAATTACAAATAAATAATTTTGTAGGGACCAGTAAATAAACTTTGTGAAAAATTGAACCTTGAATATAGTGGAGATAGCTAGCTTAATCTTTTCAGTTTGTTGAGTTGGCATGAAAAAACCTAGTAATTTTTTTTTCCTATTCTGGATGCTAAACATTGTTTTCTTTGTCAACATTGATAACTCTAGCTCATCGAATCAATCTAGTTTTTATTTTGTATATGTATATGAATTTGTACATTATCAACCTTTTTCTTTTATTATTTTAAAGGTGTGGAACGCTTCAAATTACACTTTAAACCAAACCGTGTCATTGGGGAGTGAAGTACGGACGATGGTGGTTAGCTCAGATATAATTTATATGGGTTGCAAAGGAGGGATTGTGGAAGTATGGTGTAGAAAGAAACTTAGTAGAAAAGAAACACTACAAACTGGTACAAATTGTAGAGTTGTTTGCATGGCTCTAAATAGCAATGAAGATGTCTTGCTCATTGGAACTTCTGATGGAAGAATTCAGGTAATACATATTAATTTAGTTATACACATTCTCTATAGTTTTAACCTATTTTCAGTCCATTTTATGGGTCACCTTGATCATTTACCATTTTTCTGCTCGTTTTGCAGGCTTGGGAAGTGAGTTAAAGACCTTGTTGTATATCAAAATAGTAGTATGATCAAGCGAAAAATGTCACTTAACAAATATATTCTTTTGAAGGTTCATAAATGAGGTGATGTAATGTATAGGACTAACTGTAAAAAGAATGCAAGGCATTTTCAACATTTTTTCAAATCATGGGCAACATATTCTTTTAGCTATTTAATGTAATAAACTTGCCATCTTTTATCTTTGTATGTAAAATTTACTGAAAATGGTGAAGCGCGCCCTTTCATGAAATGGTAAAAGAATAGCAAGTTTGTTAAATTAAATTACATAGTTGAAAATGTATATGTTATATAATTTGGTACAATGAGGAAAATAAATTGCATATTTTTTGCGGTTTACCTTAATTTGTAGGTGTACAGTTCTGATTATTTGTAACAAGCTTGTATTATCTTTGGTTTGTTTTTGTCTAAGTGATTAAGAGCACTCAAGGTAGCCTAGAGGTTCGAGTTTGAATATATCAGCTTGTAAAGTATTATTATTGTATTAATAAACAGGCAGCAATTAAAAAGTTTGCCCTTTGGTCTCTTGCCCATACGAAACATTTGTTCAAGAGTTGAATTCTTAAATAATTAATATAATGTTGTAATTATTTTACATACATTTTGGACGATTTTGACCTGTTTTATTTCTAACTAATTTTAGAGAAAAATTTTATAATCCAAAATCAATAATAAGTAAAAGGTACACTATGCATAATTATAAATAATTGATTAGCTTTCTAAATGATCTTATTTGGGTTTTTGCCATAAATGAACAACCGTTACTACAAGGTTCGACCTACAAAGCCCATGATATGCTTTGCAAAAACATTAATCTCAAGTTCATATTTGACATATGTTTGTTCATCATCATCATCATCATCATCATCATTTTTTTAAAATGGCTTACAAATCCACTACTCAAATCTTAAATCTATATATTTCGTCCATAGCAGAACTTGAACCTTTAATCTTTGGCTAAGGGGCACCGATCACTTAACTTCTAATACCACAAGTCCAAAAGCCATTTGGTTTTGTTCTTCTAATCTATGCTAAATGACTCTCAAATTCCTTGGATTTTGAGCGATCAATTTCTAGAATGAGACGTATATCAACAATGATCATATCAATCATCTCTATTTCATAATTAGGTTTTGGTTTAACATTTTCAAGATAGATTTGCTTTTGGTTTGATTTCTGTTTAATGTTACGTGTTTTAGATTTCCGAAACTTATTTGAGTTTTTCATTGGAAAAATGATGGTTGCTGGGATAAAATGGTTGTGAGGGAAAAATATGGTAGTAGCTAGAAACAACCTTGGTAATGGTTGTAAAACATTAAGATCATTTGTAATTTTAAAAGTAAAATAATAAACTCACCAAAAAAAATTTACTACCTTAATTAAGTTTAAGAAAACTATAAAACCCCTATTTTCTAAAGAGGTCAACCCCATTCAAATTTGACCCTAATCTCTCGTTTCCCTTGTATCCACAAATCACAATTGTTTCAAGTTCTCAAGTGCATTTCACAATACGCTAACATCCTGTCTTAGGTAAAACCTCTAACCCTAATTTGCTTTAAAGTTCCAGCCTACAAGTTGTCAAGGATTTTAACCTACAAATTTGTTCATTTTATTCTAATCTGATTATTTTGCTTAGTTTGGTCTGATCTAATCGATCTGATTTGAGTTTCTGCCGTTAATTGATTCAATGTGTTATAACCAACTGGTATTTACATTTTATAGCCAGTAAAGTTGCAATTTTTTCATCATTCTTACCTTTTAGGATGGTTAGAAGTTAGTATATGTAGTTCACATGACTAGATAATTATCAAGTATCAAGTCCCAGTTGAAGGAAATCATGAAATTGATTCAGTGTTATGTATTGCACTTTCCCCTATCAATGTTGTACAGGTTCATGTAAACCGATGATTTACAATATTTTTCAAATCAATCAGCTTAGCAGTTCCTAATTAATTTACTTTAAACATCTTTGTTTAGATATAGAGCAAAAGACCATATCTATGCCTTTTCTTCACATGGCCCATTGAGTTTCTGCCCTTAATTAATTGATTCATTATGTTTTGCTTCAATTATTTCATGTATGCTTTGTTCTCATTAGGATCTCACCCACTTACTGGGCTCCTGAAATCTAAACATATTTATGACTGTTGATTCTTGTGTGCGAGTTCTCTTTTTCTTGCAACGTTTTGTAAATTCGATTATTATGCTTATAACTATTGTATATTATGTGCAAAGATACAGGGTCGGTCCTGACGGTGGGCAACCTGGGCGATCGCCCAGGGCCCACGACTCTTAGGGGCCCAAAATTTCTGATATATATATATATATATATATATATATATATATATATATATATATATATATATATATATATATATATATATATATATATATATATATATATATATAATAAATTGATGTATATGTCTTCTAAAGGCCCAATTACCAAATTAACCGAACTTTAGGCCAATGAAATAATCTCTTTTATCCAGACTCTGGAACTTGTTTTGAAGTAACGTTAAGCAAATACTGCCGTTTAAGGTGTCTTTCAGGAATCTACATCTTGTGGGAACCAATTAATCAAATCGACACGTCGTGAATCCTACTTGTTGCCTCGTGAATCCTAATCAAAATAATGATTCATAATCAATTATCTTGCGCGATTTCTTCCTTTCTCGTAGCCTCTTACCAGCCTTCAGATTATAATCAGTTATGTCGAGTGAATGCAAATTTGCAAAGTACCCGACGAATGAGATAAAAACCATAAGGTTGACCATAGATTTTTTTTTTGTTTGTTTTTCCTTTGATCTTTTGTTTTTCAACTAGTATTAGTCCCTGATTTGATTTATTATTCATGTTTCTTATATTTTATTATTATTTATTTAATTTTTTTATTTTGTTTGTGCATCTGTGTCTCAGATTGCTGGAAACTGGACTGTCAATTATTTCTAGCTTTTACCTAGGTTTCATTTTTTTTACTTAACAATGTAACTTTTTTGTAGATATTTGATTCAAAACTCAAAAATTTAAATCCATTTTTAATTTTTCTGATGTTTTAGTGATGTTTCTGATTTTATTTTGTATTCACGTTCCTAGTCCTGGTATCTAATCAAATGTTGAAAGGTTATATATTTTTTTTCCTGGTTTTGGATGTTCTCAGATTTCTCGAGATTTGACTTTATATATTCTACCTACATTTTAGATTTTTTACTTAAGAACGTAATATTTTTTATTGATATATGATTCAGAATTCAAAACTTAAAATCCAGTTCCAATTTTCAAATGTTTGATTGTTTGTTTCTGATTTTAATTTGTAGTTGCACCTTAATTTAAATTGAATATGATATTAGGCTTCTATAACTTTGAGACATAAATCATATACCAAAAATCAGATCTAATATTTTCCTATAAATAGATAGTGTTTAAGTATTTACAATCTATAATGTTTTCCAAAAAACATTTATCTGGAAGCCAGAAAAGGAAGAAACGAAAATTTTTTGATGCCTTCGATCAAACTTATAAAGGATCTATGCATAATTTTTTCAAATCATTGAGTTTGTCTAGTTTGAATGAAGGAAAACTAATTTGAATTAAAATGATACTAATTTCTCTTTTAGGTAATATTGTGGTCATATTTATGTTGTGGGCTTTGCAACGATGTGTTTATTTTAAAATTAAATTAAATTATTATTCTAGGGGCCCATTTTTTTCTTTTCGCCCTGGGCCCGCAAGACGCTTGGACCGGCCCTGCAAAGATACACCAATAGTTATTCTAAACATAGGAATTAATTCTATAGTCCATGATCAAAACAAAGATAAGAATTCATCACTAATCATCTAAGAGAATAACATTCAAACAATCATGATTGAACCTGTAGTGTCGAATTTTACTAGAGGGAAGAAAGTAATCATAGGTCTTGTATTGTGTCTGAAGCCCAACCCATGATTCCCGTTTAATAGCAAAAGAATAACTATACCCACAAATAAAAAAAAGCATATTCTCGTATTATTGTCTTTTCTGGCAACACCCATTTCATTTCTCCAAAATCTAGTTCTAGAATATATTCCGGTTGTTTATAATGTTCTATCACATAAAGCTTTTCACCCGAACTTACAAGCTTTGGTTTTCACAAGTATATCTTCCGAAAATTCTTGGTCTTGAGTAACGTCGATTTGTGCTTCTGCTTCACATTGAGTCTGAGTTCACATATAGAAGAATCAGTGTGTAGGGTATATATCTTCCCCTTGAAAACATGTATATCAATGATGCGGTGATCAGAGTAGACATGATTCAAATATGGAATCTCATAAGACTAAGAAATGATAAAAACAAGGCTATTTTAAGAGCTAAAACCCAATGTGATGCAGGTTATGATTGTTTTTTGGTCTTTTGGTGAATTTGTGCTTTGTACGCTTATGTGTCAAATATCAACTACAACTATCCCAAATCTTGTACACTAATTTGTTTCCTGCACTTATTTGGTCCATATAGATACTTCATCGTATCGTTAGCCATATAATTCTTTCCATAACGATTTTCTTGAAAAGCCCGCTCCATTCTTAAAGCTTGAAAAATACTTTTATTAAAAGGGGATTTTATTCAGGCATTTCATCAAAGACTTCGTATGTTATAACTTCATATGCATGGATTTGGGATTTGACAAAGACGAATAATATCGGATAGAGAGAAGTCCCCACACATACCTGTTACTTAAAATTGCTTGTGGCGAAGAAGTTTTCAGTCGATTCTTCACATCGTTTCTTCAATAATGAGTCTGTTTCAAGGTTTGTAATGAGTATCACAACTTTTTTTTGGAAATGGGCTTCATACGTATGGGCTTACAAAGTATATCAAGGGCTAGGGCTGTTAATCGGGTTAACCCGATCGGTTTCAGGTTAAACGGGTCGGGTTAGTCGGGTTTTTCTAAAAAAATATTCATCCGAAACCTGACCCTAGTAAGGTATGGGTTAGTCGGGTT